TTATTGTATATATATATATATATATATATATATATATACCTTATAAAAGTCCAATCGCGCCCCGTAAAGAAAAGAAGAAAGTGGATTACAGTTGGATTCTTAAAAAAGTTTCACTACTAGAGGAATTTGACGCAATGGGCAAGAAATTTTTTTTTTTTTTTATTAAATTCAATCGATGGGCTTTGAGCGTACCCAAAAGGCATTATTCTTTGTTACTTTGCGACACCTCTAAGTCAACGGTGTTTGATTGTCCGACTGACCCACACTTTAACCCGGCACTGAGAACTGCAGTCAGAGCACGCGATATTATCACGGTGACTGATGATGCTCGAGCTCATACATAGCGAATAAATAATGCATTATATTCGAGAGTAGATTTTACGCGGCGGAATGAGTTTCACTGAAATCGTCACGTAATTTTCGATCGTGAGTTTTTGAATACACATAACGCTAACTTTCTGAAGTTACAAGCCACGCTTGGCTTGGTGTGTTGCGTTTTTAAAATGATAAACGATATACTCCAACTATAATATTTGTATGTAGAGACAACCCCAGTAGTGGAGTATTTACTTTTCAATATTTAATGTTCGATATTGGCCGACAAGTAATTCGTTCCCACGAGATATTTGACATCTGACGGACAGAAATTAAAAATTATTGCGTAAAATTTTCTCTCTTCTTTGTGTCAAATAAAATTTCTTCATGCAAATAAAAATGGTGAAGAAGAAAGTAAATAAAAAATCTGTTCCAGATGATCATAAAAACGAACGAACGGTTTGTTATAACGGTTTGTTATATCCAAAAATATGTTCGTTTTCTTACAAATACTCTTTGAACAAAAATGAAAGTTATTTCTTCTCAAACTTCTTCAAGTTTCCGACTGCCACAATTTGTGGCTTGAGATACGTTTGCTTCCATCTTTGTTCCTTTTACGCGTGGTTAACCACGAAAATAATCCATAACACATGCACGACTTAAGAGTTGCTAAATTGTTTGCATGGACATCGTCTCTTAAACAGAATTTAGAACAAGAAAAGATATTTTATTTGTAATATATATAAATGTTTCGCTTCATGGAAAAATGAACGTTATATCAATAGCATCAAATCTAATAATTTTATTAATTCAATAACGATATTAATGAAATAAATAATTTTAGAGCTTTTAATTAAATAATTGAATTAAAAAAATTTATCCATTTTCCGGCTATAATCGATATGCTACAATTAATAATAAGTAATTTATCTGGAATAGAATTCTACTTCTATTCTAGATAGTAGATAATAGAAGAATTAAATATTAAAATAGTTAACTATATAAATAACATTACAAGAGCAAAAGACACACACGTTCTTTTATTTTAAAATATCGTATCTATAATTTTTCATCTTCTGGAATTCAGAATAGAATATTCTATTTCTAACTTCCGACGTGTGTCGTACGAAGGCATACATTGGAAAAGCAGATCCGAGTATACACACATACGTAAAAAATATATATATATATCAAAATACATACGTACACATCGGAACACACGGTAAATGAACGCGGTATAAATAGAACGTGATTTATAGACCTAAGGATCTAAGGAGGATCGAAAGATCGTGATTTGCGGCGTGTGAAAATATATAAATTTACTCATTACTATCGTACGTCAGGCCAGTGCGCATTTTCTTGCGACATTTTCCCTCTGCGGTAGGAAAGAAAAGCCCGCGGGGCTTCGAGCTTACCTTTAATCAGGCAGAAGAGTTCCGGACGCAGCACCGGTCGGAACACAGCGCCGTTGCCGCAGCGGGGATGAAAGGAGGCGGTAGGGTGAGTTTTATTTGTCGAGGGCCACTCCTTCCCGATTGTTCGGTGCCCTTTGTGCCTGTTGACAGCTGCCTGCTGCCTTACGGAGGTAAGTCACATTCGCATTCGCCGATCGCTCGGAATCGGGGAAACGAGTTCGCTAGTCGTCCTGTCCTCCGGCCGGCTCCGTCCGTTATATTTGTCGTCGTAACGATTCGGCGAGGAGAGAGAGAGAGAGAGAGAGAGAGAGAGAGAGAGAGAGAGACGACGTACGTT